TCTTTCTCCCCCCTCCCCCCTCCCCCGCTCCCCCCATGTACTCTAAAAAAACCTAGAATTGTAGAATTCATGTACTCTACATACTATGTACTCCACATAGACACCCCCCCGCATGTACTCTGAAAAAATATAGAATTCTAGAATTCATGTACTCTACATAGTATGTTCTCATGTAGAATACATGAATTCTAGATTTTTTCACAGTACATGCGGGTCTATGTAGACTACATGCATGTAGAGTACATGAATTCTAGAATTGATATACCCTACACACTATGTACGCTACATGGACCCCCCTTCCTCCCCCCATGTACTCTGAGAAAACCTAGAATTCTAGAATTCATGTACTCTACATACTATGTACTATACATACTATATACTCTACATACTATGTTCTCATGTAGAATACACGAATTCCAGAATTTTAGATTTTTTCAGAGTACATGGGGGTCTATGTAGAGTACATGAATTCTAGAACTGATGTACTCTACATACTATGTACTCTGCGTGGACCCCCCCCTCCCCCCCATGTACTTTGAAAAAACCTAGAATTCTAGAATTCATGTACTCTACATAGTATGTACGCTACATAGACCGCCGACCCCCGTATGTACTCTGAAAAAACCTAGAATTCTAGAATTCATGTACTGTACATACTATGTTCTCTACATACTATGTTCTCCTGTAGAATGTATGAATTCTAGAATTCTAGATTTTTTCAGAGTACATGGGGGCCTATGTACAGTGCATGCATGTAGAGTATATGAATTCTAGAATTGATTTACCCTACATTCTGTGTACTCTACATGGACCCCCTCCCCCGCCATGCACTCTGAAAAAACCTAGAATTCTAGAATTCACGTACTCTACACAGACCTCCCCCACCCCCCATGTACTCTGAAAAAACCTAGAATTCTGGAATTCATGCACTCCACATACTATGTATTCTGCGTAGACCCTCCCATGTGCTCTGAAAGAATCTAGTATTCTAGAATTCATGTACTCTACATACTATGTACTCTACATACTATGTTCTCATGTAGAATACACGAATTCTAGAAATCTAGATTTTTTCAGAGTACATGGGGGGGGGGGGGGGGGGGGGGGGGGGCGGGGTCTATGTAGAGTATATAGTATGTAGAGTGTATAGTATGTAGAGTGCATGAATTCTAGAATTCATGTACTCTACATGCTATGTGGTCTACATAGCCCCCCTATGTACTCTGAAAAAATCTAGAATTCTAGAATTCATGTACTCTATGTACTATGTACTCTGCATACTATGTACTGTACATACTATGTTTCTCTACATACTATGTACTCTACATACCATGTACTCTACATACCATGTACTCTACATACTATGTACTCATGTAGAGTATATGAATTCTAGAATTGTAGTTTTTTTGCAGACTACATGGGGGGGGGGGGGGGGGTAAGTGGAGTACATAGAATGTAGAGTGCATGAATTCTAGAATTCTGAGTGTTTTGAGAGTACTGGGCGGAGGTGGGTGGGGTCTATGTAGAATACATATTACGTAGTACATAAAGTACATGAATGGTATGCGTATGGTAGAGAAAAGTGAGTACAAGTTGTACCTGTATTTGCGCAGCCCGTGCCCATGATGACCACCTCCAGAATGATGACCGCCATCGAAACCTCCGTGATGGTGGTCATGTCCATATCCATGATGCATATCATGATGGTGAGGATCAAATCCAAATCCTGGATGCGCATGATGCTCATAATGATATTTTGGACCAAAGCCTCGAGGATGATGATGTGCGTGAGAATGTCGGTGATGATGATGACGTGAAAAACCACAGCCCATATTTGTTTGAAAAGTTTGTTGTATACACTGGTTTGTTTTATCAAAGGAAATAAATTGAGATTGTAAGAGCTATTTATATATGAACTTGTAAAGGAAAAAGAACTGGAAAGACGTCATTCATCGCTTTCTGGTCAAAACAAAAATATTATTCAATTTTTTTCTGTCAGAAAGTAAAAGGAAAAGTAAGAGAACATGACTACTGTGGAATGAATATTCGTGTGGCTCACAATTCAAATAAGAAATAAAATGACGACAATAGTATGATTCACATGTAGGAATTTCTAGTACACTTGGCATTTTATTTAAGGTTAATAGAAAAAAAAAAATCTTCTATGAATATATCAACAAATGCACTTAGTCTAAGCAAAAAAAGTGACGTTTTTTATTTTTTTCATTGTGTAGATAACAATATAAATTTGTTTTAAATAAGTTTGATGTTAGCTTATGCATGACAATGATGATTAATCCTTGAAGAACATAGATTTCATAATAGAATTGCGTAGTAAAAAAGATTCTAAAACAAATATTTATTCAAGGACATTAGATGGCAAAAAGTGCGAATGCTAGAATCGATGAATATTTTTTTTCTATCATCAGTGTCAATCATTTTTTCAATTGCGTAGCAGTTATTAGGAAGTGTTTTGTTATTGTTAAGAGACAAAAGAAATAGTATTCACACCAAGAACATTGCTATACCGGTCGTATCTAAAATACATTAAGATGTGTATTTAGTTTCTTAGAGTTACTTTTTAATAACATCAATATTAACAGATCTAACATAAAATGGTATCTCAAAAAGAAGAAGACATTGATAAGGATATAAGTGGCACTCTTGACGATCATACAGCAGACTCGACATCAAGGAATCAGAGAAGGATGCCGACTAAACGCCAATTCACATCATCCTCGCAAATTCAAGAATAATCATTCGATAGCTGAATGCCTTCAAGAAAAATTACACCAAAAGAAGAAATAATATAGCTATACTTTTTCAAAATTATTGATTAATATTGTTTATTGCTAATTTGGATTTTATTTAAACTTCATCAATTTAATAAATTTAATATTTATAAAAACTTGTGACCTTATTTAAGTCACATGATAGTTAATGTCAATCATATGTAACCGGTAGCTCATAAAGAATGAGATAATATTAAACGAATACCAGATCAAGATGTTGTCAACCGATTATTTCAAATTTTAGATTTTATGTTAAATAATATAGAATTTACCCGTTTTTCATTTATATTACGATTACTTGTTCAACTCGCACAAGTCCATGTTATATGTTTATTTGAAGTACATCAACATATTTCAAATGTTATTGAAAATTTATCATCTGATCAAGATTATATAGATTCACTTGATAAAAAACATATTTTTCAATATTTACTTAATGTTAGTTGTGCGATAGAGACACAATCATCATTATCGAAACTAGAATTAATTACTGAAAAAGATATGGACAAAGAATTTGATAATGAACTTTATTATATTAGAAAGAACTCAGTTCTATTTCTTAAAAGAAATTATTTTCTTAATGAATTTCGAACATTTTTTAGTAATCCTATCTGAAACTAATATGCATTTGATTATAACTAATCAATTATTTCATTATTTAATAACATTCAAAATAATATCGATTAATAAAGTTTTTTCAACCGTCATTAAGTGAGTGTTTTTTTACAGAGACTAAAATGATCTGAATGTTTTCAAATAATCGATCCCTAATATAATTTGAAATTTTAATGAACACATTAATTGCTTCTTTTTCGCATAGTTAGGGTGTGCGTGGGTGCGGCTGTGAGTGTATGGGGCGTGGGTGTGGGTAGGATGTAGGTGTGGGTGTGGGGTGTGGGTGTGTCGGTGTGCGTGCTGGGGCTGGATGTAGATGAAGAAAATGCCACACTCACACCCACACCCACACCCACACCCACACCCACACCCACACCCACACCCACCCACACCCACACCCACACCCACACCACCCACACCCACACACACCCACACCCCACACCCACACCCACACCCCACACACCCACACCGACACCCACACCACCCACACCCACCCACACCCACACCACCCACACCCACACCCACCCACACTCACACCCACCCCACACCCACCCACACCCACACCCACAATACTAGAACATATCGAAGAAATCAAGATTGTAAATGATTGAATAAAAAATATCAGCTTTTATAGACTATGCATATACTACATCTATATATCAATTCCATATTATAATTGGATCTTCGCAGTTATCTGATTGTGTCTGCATTTTCGACATTTTTTATCACTTTTTTTGAATTATATTCTGAGATTGTTGATATATATATATATACATTAGGGAATCCACAATAGTTGTTCTTCGATATTGGATCCTATAAGATTTTCTCATCAATAGTACTTTGTTCAAACTTATGAATTAAAAATTGATTTTTGAATATTTTAAAATTATATATCAACGTTATTTTTATTCGCACTCTCAAACTTCAATGTTGCTGGAGCAAGCATTCAATAATCAACAGTTATTTTACTATCATACCTTTGGTTTACTTGTTTTTTTGAATGAAACGATATTATAGAAGAAAATCTCTCACAGAAAAATAGAATTTATGAGTACTTATCTCTGGTAATATATAATAATGTGTCTTCTGACGATGAACGAGAATTGGAATTTCGTGGTCATTGCAAAATATAAAGTAAAGATTTTGATGTGGTTATCTTTATTTTTGAAATATAAATGATTGAATAAATTGCCTTTTACTTGTTCTCATGATGTTATTTTTAATATTTTTATTCAAATTGAATAACAATTAAGATAATTAATTATAAATTAAAATTAGTTTAACAATCATTTATTAGAATAAAAGTTTTATTACCACGTTTCAACAATCGGAGTTGTCTTCTTCAGATGACATGCAAAAATGTACAGGAAATGGTATTTTCTTTTTCTCTGTTGTAATTATATCGTACTAGGATAGAACGACATTGATACTATTAGGAGAGATCGACTATCTGTCTTTTCCTCCGTCATACTATCATACGATTAAAGCAACTCAAAAGAAAAAACAATTGCTATATATTCCTATAGTTACTCATTGAATACTAATTATTCACTACTATTTGAACTGAGTATGTGTTTGAAACTACAATTACCGAATGCCTTCTCGAAACTTTTTAATGAAAGATATCGTCACGACCAGAAAAAAACTTCATGGATGTGCATTAGTGGTGGAAGATAATTCTTGAGTCATAGGTCTTGATAATACTTTCAAAATGTATCATAAATATAGAACTCGTTTGTCAAAAAACAAGAATTGGGATATCATGCAAGATTAATCGGTATGGTGAAAAAAGGCAGAAAAGAAAAATATCGAAAACAAAAATAATAGATATGTAGACGGATGTAAATGATGAAAATGAGAATGTATTGAAGTACCAATCTTCCTGACCTTCATCTTCAACTTTACTGGTTCATCCTCATGTCATACTTTTGTCTTCGACATTTTTCCTTTCTGCCTTTTTCCATCCATTCGACCGGGACCGTGACCAATATATTCAACCTGGTCCCGGTATTGTTTTACAAAGAGTTATTGCCCATTACAAAAAAAAAGTGGGTGAGTATTTTTTCAATGACTTCTGATAAAATCGCTTCAGAGAACTACGGCTTTCACAGCTGCAAAGAGAAGATGATGACGAAGCGAATGGCGTATTATAGGTTTCTTTAAGATGTCGTCTAAAGTTCTCTAAATCAATTTTCTGAAAAATCAAAGGAAACTCGGTTTCTCTAAAAATAAGAAAAACTTAAGAGAGTGATAGTTTTTACAGAAATTTATAGAAAAATCGGTTAAGAGTTTCACATAAAACGCCTGTAGCTCCTAAATGGGTAAGCGTGAAAGTTTATACCTTATGTAGTTTCATAGATCTTCATTTAGTGGATCGAATGCTACCTGAGTATTGAAAATTGGCCTTAGGCACTTGACAAGATATGCTGATTTTCAAAAATTTTGATCGAAATCCATGATAAAACTAGGTCAGATCATCTGTAATATATAGTTCGATGAGTCTCCATCTTCTGTTATTAACGGTGAAAACAGCAGCTCTCTGCACAAGGGGGAAACGGCAGACTTGAAGTACATCAAAGTACTTTAAAATTATATGAGAGTACTTTGAAAAACACTTTAAAATTACAAAAGAGTACTTTAAAATTACAGAAAAGTACTTTAAAGTAACTCGAAGTGCGTTTAAGTAGTGTAAATTACCTTCAAGTACAAAGTCTGCTGTTTCTCCCTTGTCTCTACAGTGCTTTTATCAAAAATTATTCAAAAAATATCCACCAACCTTTTATTTTGAAATAGGCGGTAGACTAGATCAGACTAGACATTTTGATATTTGTTATTTTTTTTTGATGAGCTGTTTGCAAACCAGAAATCCTTCAACAATCTGAACAAGATTCCTGTGATGTCTTAATTTTCTGTTCAAAGATCGGAATTTTCCAATAACCTGTCTAGTTTTTTCACTAAATAAGTCATAATGTACAGTCAATACATGGCTTTTATTTAAGACCGGAACCAGGACCGGAACCAGGAGAAAAATTTGACCGCGACTGGAACTAGAAAAATTTTCACCGGGATGGGACCGGAAAATAGTGATTTTGCAGATGCCTAATTCTACATTATCATTAATTTTAAATAAAAAGAAAAAACCCAATAGAATAATGACTAAACAGTTTGATAATCTCAATTAGCTGAAAAGCTTCTCATCGGACCTTGTCGAGCAGCAATATGATATTGTAACTGTCTCTTCAATTTTTCTTCAGTGAAACTATCTGGTTTGTCAAAATTATAGGCTAAAATGATTTACATGTTTAAAACAAAAAAAAACGATTTCTTAATTTGAAATAAATTCATACCAATACATCTCTATCCATCATAAGCCATAGTTAAGCCTGCTAATGCAATAAACCATTTTCAAAAACCAGTTGGAGTTGTAAATTCTTCAAATGTTTGAGGAAAACTTGCTCTATAAACTAAAATAAAATCTTAATACAAAAAAACCAAATCTATAAAAATAAACTTACGCCGTTTTTTTTCATCAATTAATAATTGTTTTCAATCACCTTTTTCTTTTTTTCTTAATTTAGCAATTTCTGGAGGACAAGGAAACATAACTAAATCAAAATATTCTGTTTTGCCTTTTAAATCATAGCCAACTATTTCACGATTTCCAATACGTGGGGATGCATATACATACGATCAGGATCTAATGGTGGAGATGGTTTTGTATTATCCTATTACAACTGGAGTATGTTGTACAACAGATCTACTTCCTAATGTTGTTGTCGAAGCATCTACACGACATTGATATTGTAAAAGACTCCATGAATTTTCTTTGTTCATTATATACATTGATCAATTCTACATCGAATGGTGTATAAAAACCTGAATAAAAGTTGTCAGAACAGATCGAAACAGATATCCGAATGTAATAGGGGTATGATATAGGAATAGGGACATGTTTCCAAAATGATTATATTGTTTGGTTGGAATTCATTCTATTATCAAAATTAATAACAGATTTATGTTCAGCAGTAAAAACTGAATTAAACTTCTATTAAATCTAGAGATCTAAATCAAATTTAAACATATAGCTCATGAATATTGAACGTATTTTCGTCAAATACATCGTACGATAATACGTCATCCTCTATATAACCGTCTCGACCAAGATATACTCTATTTTGTACAAAATTGAATTGTGAACATAGTGTACTGTTTTCGCTTTCTTTTTAGATAGCATAGAACGTTGTTGTCCTTATATGTTAGAATGAAACATACTCATAATAGTCAGAAGGACAAACTCTTCTATAAACAAAATTTGTGACTGAGAATTTCAGGGACTCACATTGATATCTTTTTTACGCTGAATTGTATGCAGGTCAATAGTCTTAGGACGAATATAGCAATTCAAATTAACTTTTCTTCAAACGCTGAACTGTTCTCCATTCTCATCATATTCTGTCTCACGTCTACTTTTTCCATCTTTCTTTTTTGGTGCCATGTACTTCAGTAAATTAATAACAATGAAATATGAATTGTTATGTAGCGCAATCACTGAGAATATAAGATTTCAACATGCTCTTCCCTTTCTTACCTTTTTTGACATTGTTTCTTTCTTCTTCTCTGGTATTCTGCCTCCTTCTATATTCTTTCTATGATATGTCTTCTTCTATTATCATTGTGAATTGTTCCTTTATAAACATATTACGTTTATCCATATGGAGAGAGTAAATGAAATAAATAGTTAGGGGTGTAAGTGCTCTGTGTATCGTCGTTATATCATCAAAAAGAGAGAGAAGCTTCTAGTTGCAATACATAATCTTAATGTAACAAAATCATGGATTGTTTCTATCTGATGAAATCCTTTTGTTTCTGTGTCTAAATGAATGGTGTCCGCATTGTGCATTATAAGAACAAAGAAAAAAAGAATGATAAAAAAAAAACTTTTCTTTTGGATCAACTGTGTGCCTTCTTTTTTCTCTATACCAGTAAAAGAAAACAAGTTAGTTTTTACCATTCGTGTGATCAATTTCGTATTGCTTATCAACGTTATTATGGCTAGCAGATCGAGATGTTTATTCAACCAAGAAACTTGTCATCAAGATTATCTCTCAACTTCGGTTGGTCTCACAGAAAGTTTCAGTGAATGTGGCGGAAACGAAATCGAATGTCGTGATGTGTGTGAAAATAGATCAGATTTTCCATCGTTGAAAGCAGTGAACTCTAAAATGGAATACTTATTACTACAACATGGATGTTACGACATTGGTCTGATTAATATTTATAATTATTGCATGTATGAAAATCATGTTAAGTTAATAGACAACCAGATTATCAAATCTTGCTCAATCTTTAAACCGATTTTTTTTCGTCGGAATAGCAACAAAGGTGATCTTCGTGTCATCGACAAATTACATGCATTTGCTATTTGAAAAAAAGATAAGAAGTCATTTTTCGGTAAACTAATGTGCACCTCATGTAGGAAAGCTTTAGACAACGAGGAAAACAATTACATAAAGAATGAAATAAGACAACAGTGTGATCGATTATTTGAATGGTTATATGATTTGGATGTCGTTCATACACCAACAACAATCTCATCTAAATTAAGCACATCAAGTTATAGTCCAACGATTTACAGTGGAGCAGCTTGTGATGATCAAGAAGTTCTGAAGAACTTTCTGAGAAGTATGAACTATAAATATGAAATTCCCGTTACATTTTTTATAATGGTCGTTCTTCAAAAAGTAAACAAACTTTTTGTCGTTCAATACAGCATATTTTACAATTCATTGTGCATATTGTTGCTCCAAATGATTCAAATCAGGTTTGATCTTGAGGGTGTGGGTGTGGATGTGGATGGGTGTGGGTGTGGGTGTGGGTCTTCTTTTCAATGACTCCCACACCCTCACCCACTCACACTCACACCCTATCGGGGCATATCTGGCCGGCGTAAGGTTTCCATCTAATTTTGATCAATTAGACTGAGAATTGCTTTTGTAATATCTTACACTGATTCAGAGAGGTAATTTTAAATTTTTCAGAAATCAAGATTTCTTTTTTTCTGAAAGAAATACGTATAGATTCAGATTTAAAACCGGGATGGTAGTGTTCAGGGTTCTATAAATCTGAATGGAAAGGTTGACAATGAAAACGACTAATGTTACTTCTAAACAATATTTCCAATTTCCTGTAGTCTAAATTTCAGTTCGATCGCACAAATTTAGTAGGTGGAAGTCGTTGATGAGCTCAATGTAGTCCTATAAAAATCAGAATTTTCCTGAAAAAAAACCATGAAAACCTTGCTTAAGATTTTTTTCTTTGACTACGTATCTTCTTACTTTAGGCGGCTCTATCTTCGGTTAAAATTTCATACAGATCTGTTGTACCCTTTTCAAGAACTAGAAATGGGCAAAAGAAACAGAGGGTGACTCCACTTAATTCCATATTCCTCCTTCCTTTGCTTGCTTCCTTTCTTGAAACTTAAAATTTCAATCAGTGTTGTTCACTATGCAAATCTCTTTTTTATTCCTGCGTAACTACGTGTTGTAGCAGCATTTAAATGACTGCTTTACACCTGAAGTTGATGTATTTAACTCCGGTTCCTAAGATATGCAATGAAGTAGGAGAAAGAAGCCATAAAATTTCGACTTAAAACTTACACTCATAATTTGTTTCTAAAATATATGTCAGTTCCACAATATGCTATTTTCAGAAGAAGCAAAAAATCTTTTTCCTTTTTTTTTCGTTTATAGTTTTGTTATCACGTACCCCAACATTCTCGAAGGTGCTTTATCGTAGTCAATAGGTTTTTTTTTGTTTGAACGAATATGTCAAGATGTAGGGCATGACGGAAGTCTTTTTTTTAAATTAAGCTTTGTTACTATTATATTAAAGAATAGTGTGATAAGTCGAGGACTGTATGTCGAGAGTTTTTCAAGATATTAAACTTTTCACTCTATTTTTCCCCCTTAAAAAGTAAGAATTTGAAAAACGGACTGTCATGTTCTGCATCCTAATATGCTCTTTGAAACAAAAAACAATTAAGTATATAGAATGAAGACCCACAGAGAATTTCACGTTGCCAAATGAGCTCTTTTTTTACCATTGTTTATTAAGTATCTTCCGACAATTTTATGGTATAGGACTAAAAATTTCATATAACTTGAATGTACCTGATCTAACGATCATCTTTTGAGGCGTAGAAGCCTTGAAAGAACTTACATAAGGTAAAATTAATTTTTGTATTTGATTATTAATAACTTGTCCATTATATGAAAGGATAATTTTACCACCAGTTACAATATTATAATCATTAACAATAACATCATATTCATTTTCACTTAGTAGATTAATACATTGAGCTATAATACTAGATGGTATTGAATCATTTACATTTGATACACCATCAAGATGACACATTACAGAACAAACCGCTTCAATATAAAATTCATTTGGTAGATGGCGTATAGATGTTGGTTTGATTTGTACAGGTATTACCATGCCCCAATCCAAATAGATAACAGTTGCTGTTGATAAATCTGTTGAAATTTGTAAAATACGACAACGAAACCAACGACCCTCATGAAAGCATGCACATAACTTATTTATTTCTGGTCTATTTTTAATGTTAATTATTTAAAAATGTAACAAAAACAAATAGCTAGAAGACAATACATACTTAAATGGATGACTTGGAATACAATCTAATTGAAGTTCTGCATGTACCGACATTGTATGAAGAAGACGACAAGCTCTATTAAAGTCTTCATGTAACATAAGCTATAAGAAAATGTATATTATTTTTAAGATAACAAAGGAACATTTAATTTACATAAACAATTGATGGACTTTGTGGATGAGATATATGAACTTTCGTTAGTTTTTGTCCACATTCTAATGCTTTATGTTTTGGTATATCGATTAGAACAGGTTGAGATTTAGTTTTTTTTTGTTGATTAATTGTATTCGATGATAAATTTTGTATAGAACTAATTGGTTGAAATGCCGATGATGATGTTTGCTTTAACAATGATGTTGTTGATTGTTGATTTGATTTTAACATGGAGCTAGTTTGACAATCATCAATAATCTTATTATTTACTTTTTCTATTGATGAGTTTGATAAGAAATATGTTGATATTGATCGAGTTGGAGCAGCTTGAGCAATAATTGATGTTGGACGTGTTGATATATCAGCAGGAGGAATTGCTGTTAATAAAGCTGGTGGAGTAAGTTGTTTACATTTTTGTTGAGATTCTTGAAAAGAAAAATAAATTATTTATTTATTATTCATAAAAATAATTTATGAATTTACCAATATGATTATGACGAATGAAATCATTCGACTTAACATGACCAATATCAGGTTTTGGAAACCAATGTTGTGTTTGTTTATCTTTTGTTTGTTCATCAATAGTATGAGTCGTATCATTTATAATATTTACTTGGGGTAAATCAGCTTTTTGACTATTGATATTTAAATTATTTTTTGTCTTTTTTTGACGTATTGCTAATGGCTGAAGACTTCGAATAACTGATTCAAAATCAGCATTAATTGCAATTGATGATAATATAGAAGAATTTTTCGTTTTTGTCATTGTATGAGTGTCGTTATTATCATCTTCTATTTCACCTAAATTTGAATTTGATAGAGATAATCGATTATGATTGTTATCATCATTTTCGTTAACATTATGACTATGCGTCAAATGAGGACCAACACGACTACCACCACGATAGCTACGAACTGGGCGTTGCATTTATCTAAAGTTAGAAAAGATTTTAGTTTGTCGTTTGTAAATTATCATATTTAAATATGTATATCATTTAATAATGTTCAACATGAATTATTCGTAGTAGTGTTGTAATCAAAGAATGTTGTACGGCCTCACGAAAGAATGCTTTCAACTGCCTTCTTTCGATTTCAATGCTTTTTGTCTATAGATATTACACAGTGTTCTAATTAAAAACCTAAAAGAATTAGAGTTCATATTGACATTTCACTAAGCTATCGAATTTTTAATATGTTTATTTTCTAGAAGTCTCTGTAAAACCTCATATTTTCGGACGATTCGCATATTTAAAGTTTGTTATGAAAGTTTGTGTATAAAAAAACTTGAATAGATTATCTTTCATAGAACAATTCAGAAGTTTTAAACAAAGTTCCTTCAAGATATAGATCTTTTTTAGGATAGTATATATAATATGTAATTTCTTTTTATAAAAAATATTCTAGTTAAATCCTCAATAAGCGCAAAGTTTCGAAGTTCTTCAAAAATCTGAAGGCTCTAGAAATAGACATATATGCAGTATCTATAGATGAAGGACCATTGAGAAATGAAGGAGGCAACTAAGAAAATTCTGTCGCTAGCTTTTCTGGTCATGACTACGAAGAAGATGAAGACTTTCTGATAATACTTCTAAGCGAGGATCAAGTCCAGTGTTAAATCGTCCTCGGCCAGTTGTATTGAAGGTTCAAAGTCTTTTGTGGATGGATTGAGCAGCAATCTGGTGATACTAGTAATTAATAGTAGTCCTAAAGAATTATGTTTTGTGTTCTCTTGTTTTCATTATTCTGTTTCAATAATAGAAAAATATACAACTATCTAACAATTGTTATATATTAAAACAAACAATATGGTTATTATTTTTTTCAAAATATCTTCATGTGAAAAATAATTATCGATCAACACATACAAAACAGAAATAAGTTATGATATTAACTACAATAAAAACAGATTTAGTCATCATCATCATCATCATCGTTGAATGGTGTTAACTTAGCACCAAAACGTTTTGGTGGCCAAATAACATACAACGCTCGTCCAGTTATTAAGCCTCGAGCAATCTGAAAATAGAATAAATATATCTTTGATTCTATGAATTATCATTTTGACTTACACAACCAAAATGACGACTATCATAACTTGCACGTTTATTGTCACCTTCAACCCATACATGTCCTTTTGGCACTTGTGTTTCTTTTTGTTTTATTGTATCACTTAAAAAAAATAGATGCTAATAAACAAAAAAAAAACACATTACTTCAAAAATTACTCTCTTACTAAATCATTTCATTCTCTAATGCTTTTACACGTTTGATCATATATATACCTGGTTCGCGAGGAGATCTTACAAAATTTTAATATTAAACACAATTCATCGAAATGGAAAAAGTCACAAAGAAAAAACATACTCAAATGATATAATATCATCTTTTTGTAAAAAATAGTCATCCATATGCCATCGTTTTATTAAAACCCAATCACTATGTAAACCAGTCGGATTCAAAAGAGGCTATAGCAAATAAATTAATAGCCGATCATAATAAACATAATCTACCTGCATTGAAGTACCATCAACAAGTGATATTGTCGCTATTTTATCCATAAAAGTAGTAAAAAATGGAAGAGCAAGAATAGCACCTTTAAATCCATGTTTTAAAAACCCTCCCAATTTCTAGTTAAATATATATATATATATACATGAATACTAATCAAAGAAAAAAAAATCCTTAATCTACCATATCATAGCATTAACAACATAAAAGAAAAACAAAGTTAATCTAGAGAAAAAAGTTATTAATATTTTTATATATTTTTTTTCTAAATAGAACTATATTCAACTAGATAAAATATAATCAAACATCAAGATAAAAGTGCATAACACACGAAATAAAACTTCTATTGGGTGAGATTGTATGTCATATCATAAAAATTGGAAAGGATAAGGCAAGCAATAACGTTCGATTATGTAACTGTTTATCAGTGAGCTGTCGATTTAAGATTATTAAAAACTTGTTGAACATCTTCAAAGACCTAACATTAAATAGAAATAGTTATTTTATATTTTCATTGTTTTATAAATCAAACCTTGTCAACATCATGTGAAGCATCAATATGTTTAACTAAATTTTCTTTTTCATATAGTTGAATTACCGGTCGTGTTGAATCATTATATGTCACAATACTAAGATAAACAAAATAAAAAATTCATAAATAAATTTTTTGAAAGTTTTTACCGTTTCTTTAAACTTTCTTCATTATCATCAGTTCGTCCACTTCCTTTACCACGTTCGAGACATCGAGCAACACAAGTCTATACATAAAACAAAAAAAAACGATCTAATAAAGATGAAAAACAAAACGACGAATAATAGTATTAACCTTTTCATCACAATCAAAAAAGAGTACACATTGAACATTAACTTTTCCATCCATAGCTTTTTTCCATCCTTCAACATTATCTTTATTACGTGGAAAGCCATCAATTAAAAAATTTTCTTTTCCACTTTTTTCCATAGCCTTTAGAAAAATAGAAAAAGAATTGCATTTTGTCACAAATAGTGAAAAAAAATAATTAATTTACATTTTCAAGTAATTTGCAAGTCACTGCAACAGGTACAATAGAACCGTTCTTGATATGTTCATTGATTTCGTGACCTAAAGCTGAGTCAGGTTTTGCTGCTTCTTCTCGAAGAAGATCACCAGCTGATAAATGAACATA